AAAATTTAACTGACAGTCTTACCTACTGCGTTAAGTTGACAGTTGGCAAATTAGTAGTTTTTTTATTTACATAGTTGAAAGATGATAAATACAATATGATATCTGTTTTACACCGTTATAGTAGACTTGACCATTATGTTACTAATTAATTATAATTAAAAAATGTTGTTTGAAAATTTTCGTAATATTTGCTGGAAATCACTGACCAGCGAATTGCGTAGCTCATCTACACAAACGTTATCACAGATAGATATCTGACTTTTATTAAATTTGCCATATTTTCAGAATATTTGTTGCCATAGCAACCAGAATTTTCAACATAGGAAGAAAAGAAAAAGACGTGCATAATCTCCATACTGCCATCTATCCATATATCAAGTTTCATAAAAATATTTTCAGTACTTTTTGCGTTATCGCGGGATCCAGTTTTGTGGACGGTACAACCGGTTTCAAACATATTAGAACAGAAAAGGCCCTATATCGGAAATGATATATGGGGTTTATTTAAGAAATAAAAAATGGCCTTTCGGGGAAAATGCAAGCTTACGGACTGGTTGGTCTGGCCCGAAGCGCAGCTGAGGTCCATATACCTTCCGAAGTCTGACCAACTAGTCCCTAAACTTGCATTTTCCACGAAAGGCCATGTTTTATTTGTTCTATTATACCGAATCTAAATCCTTTCATCCCCTTGTTTTGTGCTGTCATTTTTACTATTATTTGCTTTCAAATAATAATTTTACTTGTTCAGTGTGTGAAATATCTCAAACCCTAAACGGATTTTGTGTATGCTCTTCTTTTAATATTCCGATTACCGATGATTTAGGAGTTGTGATTCCATTTTTGTTAATGAAATTCAATATTAATTTAATGTTACTAGGCAAAATAACCCGGACTTTAAGAATTTCAGAAACAGTATAAATAAAATTTTTAACTAAATTAAAGAAAAATCATGACTTTTGATCAACATGTAGTACATTTATGTCTCAGATAAAGAGACAAATCGCCTATCCATTTTGACAGTTATCGTCTGTTTGTGTCGTCGTGAAATTCGCACGTCGTGAAAGCTACGTTTAACCTGAGGTCTGGAGACCGCAGGGTATTGGTACGCGTTTAACTTTTGAGGCATGGAGGAGCACGTGACCTGTTTTCGGTACATGGAGGAGCACGGGATATGTAAACCTTACATGATTGGTTAATTGAACTTTCGAAAACCTGGCTGAATACCGTTTGCCGGTTCGTGACGGATTTACCTCTGGGGAATTAGGCAGAATTACATCTAATTAGAACCAAATAACTGTAACGTGATATTTGTAATTTTGTTTAAGGTTGAAAAACTTGAATGATGTGTTTGAAAATAATCAATGTTTCTTTAATATAAAAAAAATTATTGTCTGTAAAATTTGAGATACATACTAATTGAAATATTCGATCGTAGTGGCATATGCCATAATAAATAGAGATATTTTCTGCGTAAACTTGTGTGTTAACTTATTTTTTGTTCGGAATTATTCATAAAATGGTAGGCCTATTGAATCATTTTCTTAAAAAGAAATAATTGTTTTATGTTCGACCTTCTCCGGTCATCAACGGTCACCAGTTTCCAATGACCTTCTTCTATATTGATCGACTATATGTTGTCCCCCAAACAATGTTGAAAATAGTTAAATGAAATATCTTATATCATTTAAAATGTTCCCCGCAGGAAACCATTTTACTTGTAAGAATTATTGGCCGCCCCCGGTCTGTATGCGGTTTTTGGACCGGATGACGTCATATTGAATATATAAGACCGTATGCAAATGAGGTATAATATAATTTATTATCTCTCAATAATAGACTCAAAAGAAAATTGAGACTGCAAGTGTCAACTATATATATTTGCTTTGGAATATTGCTCTTGAGGGATCTCCACGATGTCCCATTACAGCCATCACGACACACATATAACGCGAAACAGCGTTAAAACGAATTTATGATGGTTAAAAGTCGAAAAAATAAAGAAGAAAAAAAGAGAAAAAAAAACAACAACAAAAACAAATGAAACCACGATGTTGAAAACTCGGCATAATATCGTATCATCGTCATCGTACTTTCGACCTCTCGCCATAGTAGTTCCGTTGTTTCGTGACCTGGTAGCCTTTGTTCATTTAGTGTTTAGTTTCTTGCTCAAGAAATAACGGCTTGCCCCTGTCTTGGTTTGTGCCCACACGGTGATCGATACATAGTTGACTATTTCGACGCGCTAACCACTCGCCATAACAATACTTTATTTATTATATACATGCATAATTTAGTATTATAACATTATGATATGGTTATAAAGATATTTATTTCGTGTACAAGTTATGTTTTTATTTTTATTTTCAAAAGATTTTAATGAATAATATGACCGTTATAAAATAAGATTCTATTCCAAATATTGGCACCATTGTAACAAAATGTATTTTTTTACCATAATTTATGCGGTGTTGAGGTATAACAATTATGCGACGCAGATGGAAAATGGGAGCAAAACCTTACAAAGCAAAGGTACTGTACATTTATTCTGGGAATATCCATATATACAACACCATAGGAATGAAGTGTTAAAGTACAGCAATAACAAAACGATATATTGACAAACATGTGATTCATGATAATAATGTAAACAACTACATACTTTTACAAGCAACATACAACATATACAAATGTTAAAACAAATCAATGTTTAAAAATTACAAGTTAACGGTTTAAAATTTAAACAAAAAATAGCGTTAAAATGACAACATGGAAACATTCAATACATTTTTCACCCGAATAACTTGTGCTAGCAATCAGAATCCCAACCATTCAACTTTTCAGTTACATCCAATAACAAGGAGGTAATCATTTAGGGTATGACCATAGCCCCATCTGTAATCATGAGTTATTGTTAATAAATGTGTAAGCAAAAGTTATTTTTGGGGGGGGGGGGATAATAAATTGGATGGGACCAGAAAAAATGTTTTAAAACTTCATAAAGGACAATTCATATTTGTTACAGAAATTGTACACCATATATTAGCCTGCGATCCAGTCTGTCACTCTTATGTCCTGTTCGGCTGATCGATATTATCAAAAACACGAACAAGTATGAAATAACGCGTATGTGTTTTATTGTTAAAAAATCATTTCTACAACATTAAAATTTTTGGCCGCCAGGCCGCTGGGCCGCCAACTTCACAAAAATGACAAAATTAAAAAAATCTCTGCAAGTGATTTTTTCTTTAGATATATCATTTAAATAACAATAATTATCTTTAAAACTTCATTAAATGCCGTTTTATTGTTAAAAAAACATTTTTAAAACATCAAAATTTTTGGCCGCTAGGCCGCCAGGCCGCTGGGCCGCCAACTTCACAAAAATGACAAAATTAAAAAAATCTCTGAAAGTGATTTTTTCTTTAGATATATCGTTTAAATAACAATAATTATCTTTAAAACTTCATTAAATGCCGTTTTATTGTTAAAAAAAACAACATTTTTACAACATTAAAATTTTTGGCCGCCAGGCCGCTGGGCCGCCAACTTCACAAAAATGACAAAATTAAAAAAATCTCTGAAAGTGATTTTTTCTTTAGATATATCGTTTAAATAACAATAATTATCTTTAAAACTTCATTAAATGCCGTTTTATTGTTAAAAAAAAAAACATTTTTCAACATTAAAATATTTGGCCGCTAGGCCGCCAGGCCGCTGGGCCGCCAACTTCACAAAAATGACAAAATTAAAAACAATCTCTGAAAGTGATTTTTTCTTTAGATATGTCTTTAAATAACAATAATTATCTTTAAAACTTCATTAAATGCCGTTTTATTGTTAAAAAAACATTTTTACAACATTAAAATTTTTGGCCGCTAGGCCGCCAGGCCGCTGGGCCGCCAACTTCACGCCGCTAGGCCGCCAGGCCGCTGGGCCGCCAACTTCACGCCGCTAGGCCGCCAGGCCGCTGGGCCGCCAACTTCACGCCGCTAGGCCGCCAGGCCGCCAACTTCACGCCGCCAGGCCGCTAGGCCGCCAACTTCACGCCGCCAGGCCGCCAGCCGCGCTAGTCCGCCAATTTCACACATCTTAATCTTGTGGCTTTTGTCACTTTGATTAATTACATAAACTTTTGTTTACACTAGCTAAAGGGAAATCAACTTGACACAATCTGAATAGCTTCTTTGAATACAGCTGTCCACGTGTAATACTTACGTGGGAATACAGCTGTACAAAAATCGTATTTGTTTGTGTGTTTGTATGAATTTCGCTACATATGTTATTCACTCGTGGGGGTTAAACTTGACACAATCAAGCGGACATCTGGGAACACAACTTTACACAAGTAAGTGTGTTCGTGAGAATACAACTTTGCGCAATCAAACGGACATGCGGGAACACAATTTGACACAATTGAGTGAGATAGTGGAAATGAAACTTTGAACAAGCAAGCAGCCTTTTGGGGGCTCATTAAACACAATCAAGTGAGCTTCTGCGTACACACTCACATGGGCCATAAGTGTCTGAATGGTTTCCGCTGATTATCTTGAAAAGTATTCATCACACAGACTACATGCTTAAGATATTGATTGGTATTAACTAGTGGAAGACCCTTATCGATTTTGGGGTCACTAAGTCAAAGGTCAAGATCACAGGGGCTTAAAATGTCAGAATTGTTTCCGCTCATTATCTTGGTTACAATTCATCACAAAGTCTTCATATTTCTAGTATTGATTGGTCATAACCATTAGATGACTGATATTGATTTCGGGTCACTAGTTCAAAGGTCTAGGTTATAGGGGCCTTAAATGTCTTATTATCTTGATAACTATTTATCACAAAGTCTTCATTATTATTTTTTCCCATAATTGAACACTTCCATGTACCAATTTATGGCAAGTTTCTATAACAAAATTACATTACCAATAATGTGAGTCAAGGGCTAGAAAGGGGGAGGGGGGTTGGGGTGGGTGCATATGTATCGTTCGACATTTCTGGTTTAATTTGTCTATTGGCGTCTTATCTGTGATTTCCATGATTCATAACCCCAGATCCCTATTTAGAATTCCATTTTGTTAAATTTCGCCCCTTGTGTTCTATGTTAGGACACACCATTCTTTTACTCGGGGACCATACACTGCTTTTCATGAAATGGCTCGAAAGTAAATTTTTGTAGGTTCCTTGATAATCTTCGTATGAAGACATCTTCGTATGCTTCTCAAAATTTTACCATTTTCATATTTAAATGTTGATTTCTGCTTAAACCGGTGCTAGAGGACGTGGACGGTAACTTTTCAGTTCCGCTTTTCAGTTCCGTCCATGAACAGGCTCAATCAAACTGAGCTCGCAACATTTTCAATTTCGTCGTTTTGGGCGTTCTTTAGGGATTCTGGTTTCCATTATTTTACACAATTAAGCGGGTATTGTGGGGCACAATCAAGTGAGTTTTTCGGAACAAAACTTTACTCAATTAAGAGGGATTGTCGTTCCTGCAATTTTACATGAGCGTTACACATCACCAGAATAGCTCACTTATTAAATTTACTCCAATAAATCGTGTCAATAATGCTTAATTTGTCATGTGTAGCAGAATATTTGTAACAGATTACACATTAATTGATTTCCTTCTTATAGCCTCAACTTAATTAGTTTAGTGTATTCTTGTGCCATGCATTTATATACATGTAATTGTTATAGAAACCAACTATTTGTACAGAAGTTAACTTAGGTTAAACTGTTCTTCTTTTTCAGGTTGCAACTTGTGATACTCATTGTGGTTGTAGTTTTGTCTCTTCTGGCACATTATTGTTTATTTACACATCTGTATCGCAATCTTCGTGTAAGTGAATCTCAGCCAAGAACTGATTATTATGATATTGATAGTAAAGTTGATAAGGCGATTAAAAGTAAATTAGATCAAACTGACTTTGTAAAATGGGTAAAAAATAATTTGTCTGATGAACTAAATGAACTTAATATTAGTGGCAATGTAAAACAAAAAATACAAAACGAATTGTATGATGTTGATATTCCCAGGAAAGTGAAAGATTCACTTGAATCTGAAGTTTCACAGAGAACAGAATCAACTAAAGCTGAAATTATGAAGCTGTTAGAATCAACTCAAGCTAAACTAGATCAGGAGCATGACAAATTCAATGAACTGTATCAGGGAAAATTAAACGATGCTGTAAAAGAAGCTTCAAATATTAAGACATTAATTCCTAACGCAGAGGAAATGAATCGACTTCAGGAACAAGTTAAGGAATTGTCCGGAAATTATTCTAAAATAATGACTAAAGAAACAAATGATTCAAAGATTGGGGCATTGCAGGTGTCTGTAGAAGATGGGGAAAGAAAGCTAAAAGAAATAAGAAAAGAGTTCGGGGAACTTCAGAAAAATATAACAATGGCTCTTGATGAATATGCGAAACATAAAGACAAAATTAAGGAAATTGAAAAAATTAAAGAAAAGCTTGATGTCATACAACCGAATACGTTTAATAAAGGTATGTGTTTTATTAATGATACCTATGAATTACTGTCCAAGACAATGAATAATTTCCCTAATTATGAGCATACTGTAACACAAATATTTCAATTGTGAAATGTCATTGCCATAGATATATTAGGCAGTTGTTTTTTTCTGCCTTACAGATTTGTACATTTCCATTTATGTTTCCTTGACTAGAAAATATATTTTCATTAATGTTGCAGGAAAATGTCAATTTTCATTAATTATTTATTTATAGGGTAAATAAATATTCCCATTTATTTTTACTTCACGTGAAAATAAAGTTTGCTTTATTTTATACCACTTAATTAATTTCATATGGCCAGTTTTGAGCTTTGTTAATCGAGAATGACCGCAGGTGCCCCTTTTGCATTTTATCAGACACAAGCGGGTATCTTAGTAAAATCACCGATCTTTCGTAAGTAAGCTAGACAATGAAAATATTGTCCCACTGTTTCAGAAAGTTTCATGATGGCATTTATGATTTTAACTGTTATGGTGTGTGTGCTAGCTGTAGCCGTATTTAATATATATCAACGTGGGAGCAGTACGGAACCTGTACATACTAACGGACGGACACAAGCTAAACGAAACACGAAGGATATGGTTTGTAGTTAAAAAATTTCCGTCAGATAATTTTGGAAATTTTAGGTTTTACAAACGTATTGTATAAAGTCAACTTACATTTTTAAAGGATGTAACTGGATCTAATTTTCTCCGTCATTTTCAAAGAGGTTTGTCGCTAAGTAATGGATACAGTATGAATTTTCGTCAAAAGTGTCAAACGTAAGAAGATAGTTTGCTAGGTAAACAAACAAATTGTCTAAGGCGAACTGTCTTTATTTTTCACGTCTGTAAGAAGACACTTGAAGGCAATACGAGTAACTGTATCTGCCTTATACAATAATATAAAACGGATAAATTCATTAAGTCATTTAATAATAGATTGATTTAATTGATAATAATGTACGATCTTGTTGAAAATATAAAACTATATATAGAAAATATTTATATGGTCTAAAAGCTTTTGGCAGTGCACAGTGTGGCAGATTGTATTTGCACGAATTTTCGTGCACCTTTTTCAATCGGACAGAATTCACTTTCATTTATAAACAATCATGTTAAATTGGCTACCTTTAAAAGAGAGTCAGATTTACTAAAAATCAATTATGTCGATTAACATTGAAACAAACACTAAGCATGTAACGCTTAAATAAACACACTCAGTATAAACATATGAAAAACATAATGAACATAGGTTCCCCAAGAAAAAAAATACAATTTGTTAACAAGAAAAAGGGAATAAAGATGTAGTAATGAAAGGATATTTTGTTTAATTTGATAGGGCAGCAATGATGTACTACGACGGATACCACAAAGTCCAAACCTTCAGCCGGGTGTATGTATCATTAGCTATGACGAAGCACGTACAGGATTTCACAGGGAATTACTCGATTCCGCGAATATCCGTAAATGTGATGTAAAATCTCATGTGATTAGAAGACATGAACAGATTCTAGAATTACCGAGGTGTAAGGTCTATCTCATGTGTACAGAATTTTCTGAAAGGTAATGAAATAATTAGATATTATAAGGAGTGAATGTCGAGATCTAGTTATATTTACAGGAAACGGTACCAATTTGATAAAGCAAAAATAGCCAGATTCGTTGAACGTATACTTCCTGTTGATTTTTTTGGTGCAAATGGTAACCAACATTGTCCAGTAGCTAAATGTGTTCAGTATATTAGATTGTTTCTGTATTTTTTTTTCTAAAAAGCTAAAGTATATATTATTTGATTATACTTTAGATAATGTCTGCACCAGATCTTATTTGTATAATTGATTTGAAACAGTTCTGTTGTTGTTTTGTGATAATTTAATGAATGTTTTTTTCTTATTATGTAGACATGTGATTATTGAGGAGCCTGGTTTAGGTTTGGGAGATCTACATAGAACTACGTATTATGCTGTTAAGAAACTGGGAGGTATAGATATGTTCAACGTTGTTAATTAATTAGTTTTATTGTTGAATTGGAAGTGTTTGAGCTCAATGTCATTACAAGTTTGAAACACTCATTAGTAACTACATTCCTCATTTTAAAGAAAGGCTCCTTAATTCCTAGAGAAGTATTTCAAAGTATTCCTCAGCTTTTATATTAATTCTCGTTTTTTAGATCATCCCTTTTATTTAAGAACAATCCTTATATACATTAATACGTATTATCTTTATTCCAGAATAAGTAATTCATATTGTAAAAGGCAGTTGAAATTAAAAGAAAATCTGAACCAAAATATTGACAAAACGCATGTTATGTCATTTTATTCAATAAAATTTCCATCACACGTTTTGCATAAATATGATTAAATTTTCGTTATTTAATTTATTTCGAATAAAACAGTTTAGGCATAAATATGATCAAATTGCTATTATTCACTTTATTCCAGGCTGTCTCATTATATTGTACACTAAAGATCCGGGATCAAGAAAATTGAGAAATCAAGCAAACCAGGCGCTTTACAACACAGATATTTACTGTGTGAAAAAACAACAGGAACTTTCTAATCTGGAACAAAACAATGGATTCTATAGTACTTATGATAAACTGAGTGAGCATCAAAAAACTGTACTGAGACAGAAAATAGTTGACAATATGACCTAGATAATACAACGAGCACAAGTTTTTTCAATATGGCAACATCCTCATTTTCTATGATCGTTAAACATCTGATAATAATCGTCTTTACAGGGACATGTTTCTGGTGGCGTGTATAAATAAATAAGTGTCTACAAAACTTACTCAACTGCACTAAAAATTATTAAAACAACGGAGATTAGAAAAATATTTTATTGATAAGACAAACTATCACATAATATTGCTTTGAATTATTTTATCATAACTAGCACTATATATACAAGCAGTTATTCAGACTCTCCTCTCTAAATTTGCTCTCATACAATTTTAGTACGATATCATATACGTGTATATTGTACTTCGTTGAGCCAAAATGTTCTTAAGCTATTTAGTCATACCGAATTTATAGGACCAATTAGCAAACTATCTGAACTAAGTGCTTCTATATTTTGTACGAATAGTATCAAAATCTATTGTATGTTTATATGAGAGCAATCAGTGATCACATGTGTCACCTGGTGTCAGCCAATTAAGCATTTGTACCACGTGGTGATTGACTAATTCGTTCTGAACATTTTATCTTGCCCCAGTAGTTTTTGAGGAGAAGTCCGGAAAAACTTTCAAAATAAAAGTCATTACAGAGCCATAAATCTGACAAAATGATTTATCTGTAGATGCTGATGATGTGCACGACTAGATTTGGTACTGATACTAGTAAAGTTTGTAAAGTTTGGATGAAATTTCAGTGATAGTTTGTAGAAGTACAAACAAGTGACAGACGGACAGACAAACAATGGAAGATGGTCCCTATATGTCACGCTACTGTGTACATAAAATATTGTACAATATTGATGAATGGAACTTCTTATACATAGTGAGAAATCGTTAGATATAAATTCTGATGGGACCATATTTTCTTCGCAGTCTTGATCATTACAATGTTGCTTGTTATATTGCTTGTTTAATTTTTATGATTTTGTGATTTGTTTTGATGTTTATCATTATGTTTTGAACAATAATTTAGTAGCAATTTTAAAGTTTACAATGTAATATTAATGCATGTGATAGGGGTGATAAAGTAAACCATAAGTTAGGGTAGATATATGCCTGAATGATATATTCATTGACATACTCAGGAAGAATTTACTAGGCTTCAATAAATGTCTGCTACCCAAAGCATAGTATATCTTTAAAAAAGAATTGGTGATAACGAAAATGTCGAAGACTCCAAATGAGCCTAGAAATAGACAGTAGTGTCCTGACATCCCTCTATAAAACATATCAAATCTGAAAAAACTGAGGTTAAAAATTCTTGTCAATATCGGCAAACCATTATGCATACATCATCATTTTCCGCGACCTGTATACATCTGATAAGCCTCGTGATGAAAGAGGTATGTTTTTGGAGCGACTATAAATATACGTTTATCACATCCTATGAAAGAAGCAATGACCAATGTTAACGAAATGCATCTGTATTAAAATATATTAATCGGAAAATGACGTAAACTAATAGAATTCGATATGAGATATTGGTGAATGTAACAACTTAGGCAAAAATGAAATGAATGTTTTATGTAAATAATGTAACAATTATTCGGATGGAGTCATATTTTCTTTCGTAGATTTATTATGTACACTGCTGTTTGTTTGATTTATAAGTTTGTGTGATTTGTTTTGATGTATTTTAATTATTGTTTGAAGCTAAACACACGTGGCAATGTTTACATTTATATATATAGTGTTTATGCATGTGATCAAAGTGATGCAGTAACTATATGTTGCTCTATGTTGTAGAACAGTCTTTGATACAGTATAGGGTGTTGGTCCACAATATCTCAATGTGCAGACTATGTTCGATTATATTTTATGCAGTTCTTCCTTTGTACATGCCCGAAAAAATGTCGGCGTATATTGTTATGAGCCTGGTCGTCCATCTCTCCGTCCGTCCGTCTGCCTGTTTGCAGTTTTCCTATCCGGTCTGTATCTTTTGAACCGATGGACGGAAATTGAAACTACTTGGCAGAAATGTTAAACATAATGAGACAATATGCAGAGCAGAGCGCAGATTTGACCTTTCTCAGGTCAATGCCAATATAACGCTTTGTCATGTTGTATCAATTTCAAAATTGTGTGACATCTCTGTATCTTTTGAACCAATTGAAAGAAATCGTAACCTTCGGCAGAAATATTACTCGTAATGAAACAGTGTTCAGAACACATGTTAGGGCATCCTATGATCAAAATTGGCCCCGCCCCAGGACTCCTTGATTTATATTATATTTAAATGGAAAAACATATTTAAGTTTCATTGTGTTACAAAACATCTGAGAATTATTTAGTGAAACATTAATGCCCCGAGCTGAGATATTCGGCATGTGGTATCACTTTCTTGTCGTCTTAATAGTCAGTGTTAGTCATGCTTCTGGTGTCAATATTGGCCATGCCCCGGGATTACTACAACACCAATGCCTAAGATATTTAGCATGTACCTTGTGAACGTCTGAAAAATTGATTTTTTCATCATTGTCATGTGGTCATAATTAGCCCTCAACGCGGTCACTTGATTATAGGAAAACATATTTAATTAAGTCTTATTTTGTGAAACTACAATGGCCAGAGCTTAGACATTTTGTGTAGGTTTCTATAGATGTTATATTAATCATGATTCAAAGGTCAAAATTGGCCCTGCCCTAGGATTCACTTGCTTTAATTAGACCTAAGTATAGGAAAACACACCTTATCTTTTTTGTGGATAAATACTATGTATTTATTGCCCTTATATGTGGCGTATAACATTGTCTAATAAACCTCTTTTAGTTTTTATGCACTTATGGTAAAGTATGCCTCCACTAAGGCTGTTAAACATTTTTCAGAAAGTTTCTTGATTGGGTCTCCACCCTAATTGAAAGATTATTTTTGATTAATACTCAAACTTACATTTCGGGGTATATTGCCCCGCCTTTGCACAGATATCACACTTCTAAAGAACAGTGTATGTATAATATGCCGTTCTCCCAAAATCTGTTATACTTCTTAGATGTTTGTTTATAAATTATATATTCATCATGTTTATTCGGTAAACAATTATTGTCAATTTGTATAATATGCTATGTTTACAAGGCGACGTTCTTCATTACATGTAAATACATTGTAAATAAGTTGCATGCAGTTCTAATATGTTTTGTAGAAGTTTGACTAAATTCTTATCACATATATGACTATTCATTAGCGCTTGATTTGATGTGTCTTAAATGTTTTGTTGTTGTTGTTTTGAGTTTATTTTCATATACTCATTATGGACAGTTGACTATGATTTACAATTATTTTTGTCGGAATTTAATGTAATGTCATTAAGATATCCATAAATAACAATAACTATAAAAAATTAAATGTTCTAGTTGTTTTAATTCAACAGAGTTGTCATCTTATGCATGCAAACTTAAATAGATATGTTTTTGTGTCCCACTTTGAGGGATTAAAATTTTCCCTTGTGCGTCTGTCCGTCTATTCTCATGTTATGGCTCTTGACTTAGATTTTTTTTTACGATTTCATCTTTGTGTCGCGCGTAGTTCAAAAAATGTTTGACATATAGTCATGAACTTTACAGGAATGTTGATGAGCATGTGGTGTTTTGCTTGTGGATTTATTCTGCTTTGTCAGAGTTATTGCCTTTGACTAAGTTAAAATTTCTAGAGTCAGTAGATTGACAAAACATTGGAGTGTGGAGGCACTCTTGTCATAGGGGCACATTTTAGTTTGTTTCAAAGATAGACATGGCATTCTTAACATTATTATGAGTGCGTCTCGTGGTAGGAAAATGAATTGATACAAGCAAAGCTATTAGAATAAAATTAGTTTGTTGTTTTTTGACTTAATAAATGAGTTAACTATTAAAGATACTATCCTGCAGTAAGTTACTTGATTCGTTGATATTTACCGACAGTGCCATTATTATTTCTTCTGTTTTAATCAAGTTGTTCATGGATCTTGATAAGAATAAAATATCTTTGTTTTTGCTCCTTGAATTCAGAAATAAGATAATTATGTCTTTTTATATACCATTATAATACGTACAATATAGCTTCATAAAACACAGGTGTTCATATAGGTAGTTTGTCTAGTTCTATTGTTGCCTTGTTAGTCCCCTATCATCTATGTTTATTAACTATATTTGATCATACTATTGACATAATGATACAGGATGTGTTCCTCATATAGCGACTGTTCTCGCTGACAGCAGACTGCTTTTTCGTGTACAAAACGTCTTTTTTATGATTCTTTCTGATGTGGAGAAAAATGTATTCCAATAACCACATTTCTTATCATTTTGCAGATATCGAATCCTGATTTCTTAAAAACTTTTGGATATACAGGAAGTTATAGTTTAATGTTATAGTTTCATTAAAATGGATAAATTCTTCAATATTCTAAGAGGGCCAGACTATATTAAACAAAATATCATTATAAATTAAATTTAGTTCATTCAGGATATACTGTATTATATAACAAGCCACCTTAATCAAATGTTCAAATTACAATTTTAAATTGTGATGGATTTTGTACAAAATAATGCAAAAATTATACACAGCCTTTTGCTCACATTGCATTTCGGTAAACTTTATTTTTACCCTATCTATCATTTAGGTAAATCAATGCCACAACGCTAAATTCTATAAACGTTGAAGTCGCGTCTGTCTTCAACACTATTCCAGTCAATGTTAGTCCAAAATGTTAGATAATATAAATCTATTTTTCTATACTTTTGTCTCTTTCATTATCCATAACTGCATGAGCATTTTGTTAAAAATGGCTGTTTTCATTGAAAAGTCTCCGTTACAAGGTCAAATTGCTATAAATCTATAAAAACCGCTTCAATACTAATTATCCCCCGCCGAAAAATTTCGGCGGAGGATATAGAAATAGTCTCCGTCCGTCCGTCCGACCTTCCGTCCGTCCGTCCGTCCTTCCGTCCGACATTTTTGTCCGGAGCATATCTCTAAAGGTATTTGAGTTATCAACTTGAAACTTCATAGGTGGATAGACCTCATTGAGGAGGAGTGCAGTGCACAAGAATGATAACTCTACCTTGCATGATTTTTGAGTTATTGCCCTTTGTTATTTTTCAAAATTGATTTTTTGTCCAGAGCATAACTCCAAAAGCCTATGAGATATTAACATGAAACTTCATAGGTGCATAGATCTCACTCACTCAGGAGGTGTGCAGTGCACAAGAATGATAACTCTACCTTTCATAATTTTTTAGTTATTGCCCTTTGTTATTTTTCATACCTAATTTTTCACCAGAGTGGAGCATAACTCAAAAAGTGCCCTTTTTTTCATGCTATTTTGTCCAGAGCTTATCTCAAAAAGTATTTGAGGTATCAACTTTAAACTTCAAAGGTGGATGGATCACATTGAGGAGAAGTGCAGTGCTTAAGAATGATAACTCTACCCTGCATTATTTTTGAGTTATTGCCCTTTGTTATTTTTCAAGATGAATTTTTGTCCAGAGCATAACTCAAAAAGCCTTTGAGATATCAAAATGAAACTTCATAGGCGCATAGATCTCTGACTCAGGAGGTGTGCACTGCACAAGAATGATAACTCTACCTTTTATAATTTTTGAGTTATTGCCCTTTGTTCTTTTTCATACTTTAATTTTTTCTCAAAAAGTATTTGAGGTATCAACTTGAAACTTCATAGGTGGATAGATTTTACTGAGGAGGGATGCAGCACACAATAATGATAACCTACCCTGCATTATTTTTCAGTAATTGCCCTTTGTTATTTTCAGCCATCAGTATTCACATAGGTTTCAAATCTGTAATCACTATAGCCATCAGGTTTCATTACCAAAAGACCTCTTAAAATAGAATTATTCCGCTCTACTACATATACATTCTTCCAATGAGCAAACACATTCGGCGGGGGATGGCCATGTTGACATGGCTCTTGTTAAAAATTGGCACAAATATTGAATTTGTAATAACGTGCTCAGTCTTACATTTCCTGTTACCAAGGCAACGAGGGGACATCTCGAAATTGCCAAAAATCACTAGTTTGCGTTGATTTTTTCCATCAAATAGATTTCCAATTGCTGCAACTTCTCAATGGATTGCGATAGAGGGTCATTTTAAGCCTCTCTCAAGTCCAAACTTTCTTGGCGATAAGGGGACTGCCGCCCCCTCCCCTTCAACCCCACAAACAGAAAGGGGCACATCCCCCTTCTGGCAACCCCCGATGTATCTTTTGGATAGGGGGCGCGCCGAAAAAGTGGTCATAATTTTAAACAACATTTCTCAAACAAAAGCAGGTGTTGAGGTCCTAAATGATTTTTTCACTAATTGAGACAGCACAAAATGGGGTGTTTGAAAAAGGCGTTAAAAGGCATCTCTATTGTTTAATGGGTTTACAGAAAATTATGAAAATACCTGGAATTACCCAAATTGCGTTTTTCCATGCATAACATATAAATTTGAGGAAATATTGTTGTTTTGTAGAATTTTTTAAAAAAAAATTATTAACCCATTACTGCATGAGCATTTTGTCTCATAAAGAAACTGCTTCAATCCTAATCAAACTTGGCAAAAATGTTGACTGGACCATTGACTTTGTAATAACGCCGAAAAAATGATCACTTTTTAAACAACATTTCTCAAAAAAACAAGGGTTAGGGGCCTAAATAAGGCATTTTTTATTAATCAAACATTGTCAAGAATACCGCAGATTGTCAACGCCAATATACCTTGTATTTGAAGGACACGGGCTCGATAGTTGTGCATGCATATTTGAATGTCATTTGTACATACATGTTTTTATCAGTTGTGAATTTACAAACAGATAATGAAGATTTTGCAAAAGTAATCAGTGATTGATGAGTCGAGGTTATCTGTACAACTTGTCTAGTTACGTGTGACACATTGTTGAAAAGATATTTTCGGAATATATAGAGGTACGCTTTTGTTTTCTTTTAAATAGTTAAAAAGTAATATAAAAAAGATGAAATGTATCTTCATTCTTGTATTATGGTATGCTTCTGGCTATTGTATTAATCGAGCGCATCATTATACGGTATATGCATGATATTAACGGTAAAGAATGCGAGTCAAGAAACAAACGTTCATCTGGTACTTCATTTACTAAACCGGCGTTACCTTATAAAACAAAGTGCAACAAGCGAATTTATCTGCTTGCTTCCTTTCAGTAGTACTTAACACATTAAGACTTTGCTAGTTTTACCTCAAATTAACTCAGAAGTGTTTACCATACATTCAAACGTCGCATATAAGGAGAAAAAACATAACGTCTTAAAAACCTACATTCGCTCTTTCTGAGCTGTTTAAATTGTATGAGTTTATAGCGCACCGGAACCGAAGGTTCAGGGTGAGCTATTAGAATCAAAGGGGGATGGCGGTCGTCCGTCGTCATGCGTCAACAATCATCTTCTCTGAAACCGCTGGACAGATTTATTTCAAATTGGGTATGTGGCATCCTTGTGACAGTCTCAAATAAATTTGCTCATATCATTTCAGTAGACCCCTTTAAGGGGTCAAGAGAACTTAACATAGAACCTTAAGACATCTTCTTCTACAGAACTAATTGGATGATCACCAAACTTTGTCTGTAGTATTCTTAATTAGACTTTTATCAAATTTGCTCATATTAATTTGATTGGCCCCTTTTTAGGGGCCTCTTTAGCTAAAAATAGAAAAAACCTTCAAACACGCTTGTACTGAAGTAAATGATGGATGGTCACCAAACTTTGTCTGTAGCATTCTTATGTAGTCTTTTATTAAATTTGCTCACATTATTTTGAATGGCCCCTTTGAGGGACTGCTTAAGCTAAAATACCACAGGCCATAGCTGCTCAAATCTAATGAAAAATATTGATAATTGCTATAGTCTAGAGTCTTTTTGTAAATATAGAATAAACATGTTTTGACTTAATACAAAGAAGATATGTTATGTTTAAAATTCTATACACTATAGGATAACACAATATAAATATAATAATAGTGTCATTAAAAAACTGGCAGAATTTTAAAGAAAATACCAACATTTACTTGACCAGTATTAAGAATAGTTTATTCATTCTTTTATTGAAAGTAGACATTTTTTGTAAGAATTTCATAGATTTCAATAAATTTCTTTGATTTAAATACTTTACTCAAGGAAGAGCATAGTATATCTTTTATGAAAGGAAAACAACTCATGTTGGAATGTCTTTCATACATGTGAACATGTTATGCAATTTTTCTAAAAGAAGATTCAATAGCTGGGACTAATGACCTGTTTGCTGTTGAAATTATTTGAGGTCATTTATGAAATAACTGGAGCATATTATAAGGACATAAAGATACCAACACACTGTTATTTTTAAAACTCTATAATACTTATTTTAAATGTAAATGTTTTCAGACATATGTAATACTTAATTGATAGTATACAGCTATGCAATACAGTAAATGCTAAATTAAATTAATTAATTAATTAATTAATACTGGTCAAGTAAATGTTGGTATTTTCTTTAAGGAAAGGACTACCATGAGCTATTGTAGCTCTCGGTCCAATTCCTTTCTGCTTAAATTGTAAATTATTAACATGTATATATTACCTTGAATAAAAATATGTTTAAACCAAGAATACTTTTACATGTACATTGAATCAATTAAAACACAATGTGCTTTTTATCTGAACAGTAAACATATCTGCACATTGTTCATTTGAAATAAGACCCTCACCCCAAACTCACTAGACATGCGCTATGACAAAGTTCAATTGTACAGTAAATTGTCATTTGTAGGTCAGTGTGGAAATACAATTCGGCCTAAAGAAAGATTAAATTTGTTTCCTGTACCTTACTTACAAAGATGAGTTTGTATGCTTAATTTTTTATTGAATTTTGTTAAAATTGTTGTAATATTTTTCAATCATTGTTGAAATGGATTCAAACTTGGAGAAAGCACATTTCAATATACTTTGGGACACACTGTTGAACCTGATGTGTCATGTCCATAATTGAATTTTGGTATAAGTTGAGCTGTTATTGATGTAAAACTTGAAACCATTTCACCTAATTTTTTTTTGGGGTTTTTAAAACTTTGAAATTTTTAAAGGGAAAAGTAATTTAATGCGGGAAATTTAATTAAGATATTTAAACTGGACTACTTTTGGGATTTTATGATATCGCTTTACCTAGTTTTTCCCCTTTTTTTTAAATTTCCTACTTGAAAAATTTTTCAGGGGGTTAAAAATTTTTTCCTGACTTAATTTAAAATTTTCAGCTGGCCTACTTGTGATATTTTTTCATGTTCAGACTTGAATTTTAGACTATTTTACTACAGTGATATTTCAGCTCACCTTAGCAGAGGGTAAAATTGTGAACTATTGAGATTGGATAATGTCTGTTGTTTGTGCTTGAATATTGTAAGCATTTGCTTTAAAAAGATAGTTTTCCCTCAATTATTTCTTAATTATTTTCAAAGATTGAGTAGCATCAAATGCATAATATTTCTCAACAAGCTGCATTTATTTCCATGAAAAAGATATTTGCACCAAATATATCTGCATAAGAGTGTGTGTTTTTTCATCCCTTAAATAATAAGAATACCTATATGTTTTACCTGTAAAATTTTACACCTGTAATTTTGAGCTGAAAAATTATACACTTGTATTTCTATACCTGTACAATTTTACACATGGATTGAAAACAGCTGTAAAAAGTGCAACTCTATTTTGGACCAGAATAAAAATACGGATTATTTACATATTTCGTTCATAGTACAGGTGTAAAGCTGGTGTAATTTGCTATAAAGGGGATTTTTTTGAAAAAAAAGGCTTTTTTTGGGAAAAATACAGAGTAAAAATTTTTGTACAGGGATGTTACAAAAAAAAATGTTTTTTAATCTTTCTGGGCCAAAAATGTTAAAATTTCCAAGTACACACCTTTCATATTTTTCGTGGGGGCATTTTTTGTATTTTATTCCAAAAGTTATAAAAAAAACCCCTTTAAAATTAAAAAAGCTGTAGAGTTATTTAATTGCATTTATTCTAAAAGTATCATAGGGAACCCAAAATTTAAACATTTAAAAATACTTACAAAGCATTTTTCCCAAAAAATTAAGGGCCCAAAAATTTTTTTTCAATTTTTTTGGGGGAACAATTTAAAATTTATGGGTCAAATGAGTGATCTAGCACCATCTTAGGCCTATTGTATATTATTATGAAGGAAAAAAAACAGTGTTGTGAAAGTATTTAACTGGAGAAGCAGGTTAAAGTTGAACTGGACTTGCCTTTTGGCAAAATAATTTGAAAAATATTTTCTACAATGAAAAACAGTTGTTTCTTGTGAGCGACTCAGGGCCACCACGCCCCTTGTTTTCCTGTTCGCGTGTATCTGAGGTCCCAGAATAACTCAATGACATTAGTTGTGCCTAAATCTCGGACAGTACGATATGGTGACAGGTGTTCCAAACCCGCGGGAAAATTTGGAAGCGTTACCCCCTGACGTTAGAGGGGTAATACCTGCATTTTTTTAAGAGAGCCGAAAAACACTTTTATTTCATAAAGTTCTATGGACGTTAGTTCTAAATAATACATGTACTACTTTTGCTATATTTCGGTTTTTTAATTGTTTTGATTTTAAACAAAAATGTTCTGATTTTTAACCTTTATGTTTAGTTATCTTATTTTTTTAAAGGTTTTATTAATTAAGTTGTACTTATGTTTTTTAATTAAAATTAATGAATAGAGGATATTGAATGATGAAAGTTCATACGGGAAAATTTTTGGGCACGAGTTTTTGAAAAAAAAAAATTAAAAGCGACCCTCTGGCGAGCATAATTTATTTTTTTTAAAACGAGTGAAAAAAATAAGTAAGTTAACAAATTTTAATTTTCAATTTATCAATCCCCCAAAAAATTTAAAAGACTTTTAAAAGTGGAAAAAAGAGCTTTTTTTCATTGAGGGCCCCTTTAAAGTATAACGTAACATTTAGCGCGTTTTTCACATTTTCTATAACGCAAATGAGTCATCAAAATTATGCACGGCCGTAAATATTTTTACGGAGTCCAAAATGCAGGATGTGTGATAATATTTTTTTATCGATTTATGTAAAGACTTTTGAACATTTTTATTATAAAAAAGAGTGCTATAGAAATTTTGGTTATTAATAAAATAATAATTAAAAACGTAGTTGGGAAAATTAATGTGTAGTATTTTACTGTTTTTATATAAACAACTCGCGTTTCCGTGATTTTTCCCAGGGGCCGGAATTTTAAATGGGGATGGGGGGTTGCAACGAGTCGGTCCAAAAACAACGTCATTTTACGCGTTTTAAAAAAATAAACCCGCGTTAAAATGAATCTTTTTTAGAAGGGATTGTGTTATGGGAGAAAGTCTTTTATTTTGTTTTTTAAGTTGAAGTTTAAGAATTGTAAAAAAATTTAGTTGGGATAAAATGATTTATTTTTCCATGAACATAAAATTTTAAATTTTGAGGAAACCCCTTTTATTTATGAAATAATGTGGCAGAATATGCAAGAAAAAAAAATGTTGCGGTTCGGACCTATGACAGATATAGAGGATATTGAATGAGTGTAAGTTCAATACTGAATTTATTGCACGAGTTGAATAAAATTATATTATGCGAGCCTCTGGCGAGCATAATATTATTTTATTCAACGAGTGCAATAAATTCAGTAAAGAATTCACGATTTAAAATTCTATTTTTTAATACCCAAAAAATACCGTTAAAAATGAAAAAAAGAGTCATTTTTTATTGACGGACTATAGTATAAGCTAAATTTAGCGCGTCTTTTCCTATGTTTGTTAAGTAAAAGAAGTCACGTAAAATTATGCCCGGCGTGCATCATTTATAGGATCGCAAAATCGGCCCGGGTTGTGATAAAAATTTTTAAATTCCTATAGTTGCTAGGACGCTAATTTCCCGTAAAAATTTGTTAATGGATTCCAAAAAAAAATAATGCCCTTGAGTCGTATCGTACTTTTTTTCTTTATTAGCTAAAAACCAAAAGACATTGGGCCCGGTTTTTTTTGTTTTTGTTTTCCCCCTTTGGTTTCTGCCATTTGGGAAAAAGGACATTCCCGTTTTTTCCACATTCTGGGGACGGATATTTGTGGCGTATCAAAAAATTTATAAAGTAAAAATTGTGTTTCCTAAGTCGATAAGATTGAACCTATCGATCTCATGCTGGAAATTTTCACCAAAAGTAGGGAAAATCATGACACTTTCATTTTTTGCTAGAAAAAGACAATTTTTACGCTTTTTTAAAATAAAAATTTTTATTTCAATGAAAAAAGGCCATCTGTTTTTAAAATTTAAAAAGTTTCTTTTGTAATTTTCCATTATAAAATGTTTAAGAATGAGCTTGTAGGGTTGTTATGAGGGGATTTTTGATCAAATTTTGACAGTTATTAAGCTAAACGTTTTTATGGAAAAAATATTATTTTGGGGTGGGTTCGATCCCCGGGAGATGCTTTGGTAGTTTAGTGCGGAGGAAGGTAGTCTAGTACTGGTGTAACTCTCCAGGAACGATGGTTAGGAAACTACCCGCCTATATGACTGAAATACTGTTGGGAAAAGGCTTAAAATGAAACAAACAAACAAACAATACCTATATCCATATAAGTTATATGCACCATTCACGTTTTCCGGTTCGACATTGTAAAACGTGTTGTTATTTGGTTGCCATTAATGTGATAGACCTCAATCTTTGATTTGAACTGATACACTATAAGAAATTTCGGAACAAAATACTTATATCTATATCAGTAATATGTACCGTTTTCAGGTGAGAATTTTGTAGTTCGTCCTATTTGTTTTTTCATTAATGTGTATGCCCCACCATTTGTGCTGAATTAACAAGTCACAACAGATGACATCTGTCTGTGTGTCTAAAGGAGATATCACCTCCATTGGCTTAGATAACAGTTCACCTCTATTTTGATATTTGAGCCCACGACCTCGACATATTGAGTCAGACCTCTATAGCACGCTTCATCCACATGTTGAATTCTTGATTTAGCCTTTTCTAACCTGTAAAGAAAGCATTATATTGCCATTTCAGTGTCAGTGTGATTGAAAAAAACCCATAAAAGTTACAGTATGAATATGACGTTATTCTAGCAAGGACATTACGAGTAAAGGGACGTAACACGAATGTAATTGTATCAAATATTACTTCAAGAGTTACCTTTTCTTGATATATTAGTTTGGCTGATTAATAACCGCCTATATTTTTATAGTAATTTCAATTTTTGTATTTTAATTTTTGTATTTCAATACTACTAATATGCTTTTATTTTACACAATAACGTAATACGTTGTTATATAATTTTGGTAGAGAAGAGCGGGTGAAAAAGGCAAAAGATATGAACATCATAATCTGCCCCCTAGAGCTCAGTCGGTAAAGTACATGATGATTATATTGCAGGTAAAATGGAGACAATGAAGTATGCAGTGGTGTACTTTATCTTAACATATGATTACACTTTTTGTACCAGTGTACATGAAAATCAAGACACACGGTCAAGTTGTAGAAGCTATGGACGTTGTTACAACCCGAACTATTGCGATGGTCTTCTATCGCCCCCTAAATGTTCACAGAAGCATTTATTAAACAAGTTAGAGTGTTTATCAGCCTTGCTAGAAGATAAATCAAATGATAGCGATTGGTCAGATACAATAAAAGATTTAACAGAGAACGTAACCTTGATGGTTAATCAGATAGGTGATTTTACAAAAAAAATAGTCGAAATTAAAAAGATGTGTAAGAAAACAAAATCTGATTTGAAAGATATTCTGATATCATACTTCACAGAGAATGTCAACTCTCTTACTGTAAGTTACAAAGACTTAAAGGAGAAACAAGATGGTTTAGAAATTAAAATGTCCGAGTTAAAACAGTATCGCGAAGACACTGATAAAGCATTAGAATCACTTAGATACGAATTAAAACATATAAAAGATAACTTTAAATCGTTTATGTTAAAATCACAAACGGGACACACGAACAGGGAAGAAGGGATTCTGACAAGCGATGATGAAGAGAATAGAACAATAGATAGTTCAGAATCAAAGTTGAAAGAATCATGTGTAAAGGAAATCAAGAAAACGAGAGAAACAATAAATGATTTAGGAAATAAATTACTGGCGAATCAGGAACAGCTGAAAGAATATGCGAAACATGAAGAAAGAATTGAAACAAATAAAGAGGACCTTGATGTCATTCAACCAAATACGTTTATTAAAGGTATGTGTTTCATAATTAATAGCTCAAATTAATAGCTCTGATTTTTTTATCGAAGATAGTGAATAATTTCCCTAAATATAAGTGATCGGATAACACTAGTATTTCAATTATCAAATGTAATTACCATAGATAAATTAGACAGCTTCATTTCGTTTATTTCTGCTACATATATGTACATTTCCAATGAAAACTGTGTTGTCGTTCATGTTTCCTATGCAGGAAAATGTATATTTTCATTTATAATAATTTATAGGAAAATAAATATTCCCCACGTGAAAATACAATTTGCTTTGTTTTATACCACTCATTTCATATGCAAGTTTCCAGCGATGACCGCTGGTGCCCCTTTTGTAAGCTCACCAGAACCAAAGGTTCATCATCAAATGGGGATGGTCCGGCGTCCATCGTCCGTCGTCATGCGTCAACAATCATCTTCTCTGAAACCTCTAAACAGATTTACTTCAAATTTGGTCTGTAGCTTCCTTGTGACAGTCACACCTACATTTGCTCATATCATTTCAATTGACCCCTTTTATGAGAGATCATGAGAGCTGAAAATAGAGAAAGCCGTTAGACATCTTCTTTCAAAAT